CTCCAATTCAAACTCAAATGGAAGTCGAGATCCAAAGCCGAATTGACTCCAAAATGGCCGAAATGGAGAGGGGATACAAGTAGAGTATGGATGAGATGATGAGTCGTTTCACCAACAACGACACATGTTCCACCAATCATCCTCATTATTGAGACCCTGGGAACGACCCGGGTAGTGGTGAAGTAGGTCAAGGTACCCCGGCGATTGTTTAACTTAGCTTCACTCTAGCATAGCTTTTGTTTGGTATGGATACCAAATTAGTTCGGACTATCTTTTGTACTAGGACATTATTATTATTATTATTATTATTATTATTATTATTATTATTATTATTATTATTATTATTATTATTATTATTATTATTATTATTATTATTATTATTATTATTATTATTATTATTATTATTATTATTATTATTATTATATATAATTTCTTAGGTCGTTAATTTTTTTTTAAACAGCAACTTCTGCAGGTGTTCAGGTGTTAGTGTCATTTTATATAAAAAAAAAAAAAAACAAATCTGGAATTGTATTTTTTTTTTCAAATATTACCGACGGTTTTGTAGGTTCTTTCGACGGATTAAATCTGTCGCGAACTACATTGATCAACGACGGGAAAAATTTCCGTCGGAAAATAACGACGAAAAAGTCCCTCGCAAAAAATTCTGTCACAATAAAACATTTTGCGACGGAAATTTTTCGTCGAAAAATAAAATTTCTGACGGAATTTGTCGTCGGAAATTCTTTTTTCCGAGGGAAATTTTCCGTCGCAAATTTCATTTTCCGACGGAATTTTGTCTATCGTAATATTGCGACGAATTTTCATTAGGGTCAAACTACATTCCGACAAAATTATTTCCGTCGGAATATGGTCAATTTCCTACAAAAGGTATTCCGACGATTGTTTCTGAATGAATTCCGTTGTAAACTTGATTTCCGAAGGAATTCTGTTGGAAACTTGATTTTCGACGGATTTTTCATAATTTCTGACGAATTTTTTCCGTCACAATTAAGTTGTTTTCTTGTAGTGCCTTTAATTAAAAGCTAAAGGAAAAAATTCCTACAACAAGCAGAGTAACCAGAAGCAAAAGCTCCAGAAGCAGTTTAGATTTAAGAAGCACATGAAGTTCAGGAATCAACCAAGGTGGTTCAAAAAACAAAGAGGGGGGTTCAGAAAATAGGAAGTTTTGGTAAAAGAAAGTCAAGAAGAAAACAAAAGAAGTTCAGAGGGGGGAAATCATCTCAAAAGGAGGTTCGGAAATCAATTAAAGAGAAAAAAAGAAAGAGAAAAGATGATGACGAGGGGTTGATTGATTTAGAAGATGTTGTTGATTTAAGTGATGATGATGATGATGAATTTGTGAAAGATTATGTTGAAGAAGACAAGCTTAGTGTTAGAGTGAGACATGTTAAGTTTATGGATTTTGTAAGAACCTTAAGCCATCAACATAAGCAAGCAGTTGAAGAAATGGGATTTGGGATTTAAAATTTCAATGTTAATTTTAATATAATAAATGTTCAAAGTCTAGTACTGTCATGTTCATATTTATTGATGCACCATGGAAAAAATCAGATATCCGATATTTGATCTGATATCCGATTTTTAGATCAAATGCAGTTCATATCGTCTGATATTCGAATTTTCAGATAGTTTTGCTCAGCCCTATTCATAATTCCTTAACCCAATTTAACTTATGCTCATATAACAATCTAACTCAATTGTTCTAAAAAACACATATACATGTTCAGATATCTAACATAATAGGTTCATTATTACAAAACATAAAAAGGTTTTAAAAATTCATAAATAAAAAACAAAATAAATTTTCATATGCAAATAATCAAATGTTTAGATATATAATTATAAAGTACATAATGTAAATTTTATTTTATTTTTTTAATTTTTTTTAATGATTATTACAAAATACATAGATCTAAAACAAGTTCATAAGAAATGTATCACGTGTTCTAAAATATAATTAAGATGTTCATAAATAAAAAAATATATGTCAGTACAAATATATATTTATAGGAAAAGTATCATACGTTCATTTTTTTGACTTAAAATGTTCAAAATACCAAAATATAACAAAAAAAAAACTATTCATAATAGAATACACAAATATCACTAACAAAAAAAAATCAAAACAATATGAAAGCTACATATTTAGAAACCTAAACCTAGCCATAGTTATTTAGATGATGGAATCTCATCGGAAAATAATCATCTTCGTCGTCTTAAACACCTTATCCTCGTCAAATCTGCCATTTTTAACTTCACTTCTTTACAAAAACTCTATTCACAAAGCTTTAAATTGAAGGTTGAAGAAAACGAATTTTGACATTAATATATGCTGATAAACAATGGCGATGAAAGAATTAAATCAAATACAATGAACGAATTTAAGATAAAGAAAAATAGAGGTGAGAGAAATTATAAATTTTAGTAAAAGGAGATGAAGGATCTCAATATATGGTGATGAAGAAATTAAATCAAAAACAAAATAATGAATGAATTTAAGAGAGAGAAAAATAAAAGAGAGAGAAGATAGAGGAGAGAGAAATCAGAAATTAAGAAAGTGTAAAGGAGGAGAAGAGAGGAAGAAGAAAATATTGAGAGATAATAATGTTGTTAGTGTTGGCAAATTGTATAATATGTGGCACATTATTACTGGTGGTGCACACAATTTAACATGCACCATGTTGCATGTTAAAATTTGCTGTATTTTGGCACAAATTCTTAGCGACACACTTATGTAGCTAAGCTAGCTGTAAAAACCTTATATATGAACATATAATACTTCAAAAAACGAATATACGTAAATTTCTCATGTAAATTTTGTTTTTCCATTACTTTTATTATTGAAGAATTAATTGATTGAAATTTCAAGAAACAATGGACACACAAATCAATTTTTCCTAATTTAAATATATTGTTGACGTTGATTTGAATTTGCTTATTGAATATACTACCTCCGCTTCGGATTACTCGCAACAGTTTCCTAAAATGGCTGCTTCACATTACTCGCAACAAAATATTTTCTTTCCTTTTTTAGTAAGTTCTATCCTACAAATTGACATATTTACCCTTACTTTTTAAAAAAAAAAAAAAACCATCTTGTTACTCCTAATCTAAATTTAGTACAATTAACCTTAGTATAGTTTTTTTAACCATTCCCACCATATTTACCCAATTTTTTTTAAAATAAATTACAATTTCCCAACTACTTTCCTTCAATGAATCAGCATTCAATAGAAGATGGAAGTGGTTGAATGAATTGAATTCTGGGATTGAATGTTCCAGAACTCACACTCAACCCTAGTTCTTCATATACCTCTCTCTCTCTCTCTCTCTCTCTCCCAACACTCTGTCTCTCTCTACTTCTACTGTGTTTTCTCCTTTCTAACAAGATTAATAACAAACCCTAGCATGTCACTAAGCAATAAAAATCAAATATTTAGCCGCAACATGATACTAACATGATATTAGGAAATACAATAAAAGGCATCATAGAAATCATAATTGACATTATATTCTTTACCCTAAACATGATACTAAGAATTTATTGTTGTCACCCTAGACATCAAATTAAGAAAAACATCCTAACATGATACTAGGAATCATAATAACAATCTAAGCATGATAATATCAATAAATCAATTAAAGCACTTACTTGGATGCCTCGTACCTCTTTCTAATAACAAAATACACACGTTAGTAACTTCAAGGAAAATAATAACCAAAGAATTAAATTAAATAATAATTGAATAAGAGATTTAGGACTTAACCCTCAGAAACTAAAACCTTTCACATCTAGGGCGAAGGCAACTTCGAATAATGTTAGGTGTATTTAGGTCTTGTGAGTGCGGAATTTTGTTTGTAAAAAGGGGGTAGGTTTAGAAAAGAGAGAGAGATAAGGTTTAGCTTAGAGAGAGAAAGAATTAGAAAACTAAGAAATTGATGATTGTAGATGAGAGTTGGTTATTGAAAACGGAGTTTTTAGGAGGCTATTTATAGAGAAAATCAACCAAAAAGATAGAAAATCGAACCAGAGTTCTGACGTGAAAAAACAGAGTTAGCGCCAGACGCTGACATTAGCGCCAGACGCTAATGCTAGCGCCAGGCGCTAATGCTAGCGTTAGGCACTAATCAGGATTTTGACGCGTTTTCTAAAATCAGATAGAATTAACCATACAGGAAGGTAAAATCGTATTTTCCTCAAAAACTCTCTTTTATTCTAATTAAAACTCTAAAAAGTCAACAAAAGTCAATTTATCAATGCTAATTGAATTAAGAATGAAAAGAACCTTCTAGAAGAATCTCGAAGACTAAAACCATTCCTAATTGCATTAGGAATGATAAATCCATATTAGGCCCTCCTCTAGATCATTGGGCCGCATATAAGGTTCAAACCGGACCCAGTTTAGTAATTTTGCCATAACTTCCTCATTATTCATCGGAATTGGGTTATAATATATCATTGGAAAGCTCTTTTCAAACCCATCCAACTACACTACTATTGGACCCATATCATGGACCAACCAAACTGGATTGGCTGCTTTCTTAAAATAGATTTTCAAAAACAGAGAGAAAATAAAAGAAATTAAAACTATCCGCAACACTAGACTTTCCACACTTTCACTTCATTCGATTATGATTCGACGTGAAAGGTACTCATCACCGGGTTTGGTTTTGGGGAGACACAAATGGGTGTCTACAGGACAGTAATCCTTTGAGCCCTAATACATGACTGCCTAGAAATGAGGACTAAGTATTTACCAAAATACACATAACCAATACTTAAAATAAAACAAAAAATAAAATAAAGTTTAGGCTTGCATGGTTATGTGTGGCAGTCTATGAGTCTCAAAAGTATATTCAGTGTCCCTTGCTTACTTAGTCCGCATCTACCTCCATGTTGGCATCTTGATGTTGGTTGCTTGTTGTTGGCACTTCTATTGTGTTCAGATACTGCACCACTGTGTTCAAAAGCTCTTTGTCTACTTGTAGCAAGTTTGTAATTGCCCTAGACTGTCCAAATGTCTCTTTTTCACGTGTGGTGGAACAAATTTTTTGTTTCCTTTCCTTTCTAGTATTTCAAGCATGAAAGACTGTAGGGTAATCCATGTATACTTGTTCACTATTGGATCAAATCCCTCCCAAGCTTCTTTCACCCTTTCTAGTAATTCATCAAGACTTTTTGGGAAAGACTGATACTGAATGGATTGTATGACCCTAAATACACCTAAATCCAAGACATTTAAGTCTAGACTTTGTGCTGGTTGGTAGACAAACTCAATGTTGAACCCATATGCATGACATGCTTCTGTGAATTCTGTATCCTTAGGGACTTGGTGTGGCTTAGCATTATCCCACTGTATTAGGATATCCTTTGGTAAATGGGGGGGCCATTTCTCATGTATAGCTGGAATGACATGGTTGAGTAGCATGTCCCTTATAGCATCCTTGTTCACAGACTGGACAACCTTAGTTTCCAATGTTCCTTTGGCTCTGTTCTTGCTTGTCTTCTTTGCTATGTCATATTTGACAAAAGGAAACAACCCAAACTTCTCATCATGCAAGAGATTCTTGTTTCATCATAAAGTGGCTTCCCAACCATGCCCATGAACATAGCCTTCAATTTAAACCTCCTAGACTGTTGAGCTCTATATGGGTTGTCTTCATTTGGTAGCAGATAAAATGTTCTTGTTTCTGGGTTCAAGTAGAACCACTTTTCATCAATATGAATTGTGTGCTTCATATCTCTAAAATTTGGGTTCCCAACAGATGGAACAGGGTGAACATAGCTTAAAACCCACTTAAGTCTTGCAATTTTGTGATTGTCTGTGAGTGATGGGTGATTAGTTGATGTGTGTGTTCTAAGTCTGCCTTTTTTCTTTAATCTGTGTATCACTGAGGAAGACATATGAAGGGCAGCAACATAGCTCATTTCAGTGGTCCCCTCCCCTAAATGTTTTTTAATTACCTGGAACCATCTAGTTGTTGTTGATCTGTGAACATTATGTTTTCTGGCCATTTTGGATAAAAATCCAAATGGTAATAAGTCCCCTTCCATGTTCACCAAAATTTCATCAACTAGTTGTCTCTTTTCTTCCAAAGTTAGTTCTCTATTTGCCCTTCTTCCATGTCCTTCTTCAATTGGAGTCCCCTCTATCTCTATATGTATCTCATCAACATCTACATCATACCCACCATCTGCATGTTCACCATTCTGTTGCTCAGTTTCCAATTCTGATTCATCATGGACTGAATCATGAAGTCCCATGCTGTAGTAGTCCCATTGCCGCTGTTCATCTTCATACAGTTGATGCATGCCAAAACAATCAGATTCAAAGAATTCCATGAGTCCCTTTTTTTTTTTTTTTTTTTTTTTTGCAGAGCAAGTGAAGGTGATGAAGTGGCGGTTGTGGGGTTTTTTTTTTTTGCGGTCTTCAATGGAGCCTAATTCAACTCAGCACTTAGAATTAGGATTATTAACAACTAATGTTAGTGAAAATGTAATTTACTAGGGCTGCCTGTATTTTGTGAACTTAAGTACTGTTGGTTTCTGTGGAAAACAATTCGAATTTATCACCCACCCCCCTCCCAAATTAACCCATCTAAAATGAAGTGAAAAAAGATGGGTTTATTTGGAGGGGTGACCTCTTTATAAAGAGGAAATTTTGATTGACTTAATTGAAAATTTTGAATTTGGGTGAATTTTTTAATTTTCGTGGAAAAATTAGGAGGGAAAAATAATTTTCCCAAAACAAGTGGAAAACTTGTTGTAAAATCAGAAATAAAAGGGGGGGAAAACCCACTAAAAATATTCCCCTCACATGCAATCAAAAAGTAAATAAGGGACCACTTCCTTTCCCTCCATTTTATCTCTCCTAATACTATACCCACCCTTTAATTAACACCACTTCAATCTTTTGCCTCGGCCTCCGCAAACTTGTACTTTGTTGCAAGTAACTCGAAGCGGAGGTAGTAGTTGCTAATTTCATTATCAGGTTACTGCGCAATTGTGGAATATTAATGGCATATTATTGAGTATTTTAGGTTTTTAAATGAGAGAGAACAAACATGAAAGGATAAAGGAGGGGTATTTTAGTATTGGAAAAATTGGCCCCATTAATCCCAACTTTGTCTCGTCCACTAATAATAATCCCTACTTGCAACTATTCACTATCACTCCCAACTTTGTATGAGATTAATTTCTATTGTTCCCAAATGACTTGAAACCGGTTAATCAAGTTAACATTTATGAATTAAATTTTTTTGCACACGTGTCAATATGTACTTGGTTGAAAAAAAAAAGAGAAAATAAAAAAAATGTAAAAGTAAAATTAAATTTCCTAAAACTAATCCAACACCTGCCCTACCACCCCCACCACCGACGCACACCCTCCCCACACGCAGCCCAGCATAGCCAGCCACCACACACACTCCCTTCCTAGCCCACCACTACTAGAAAAACCTTCACAGCCCCCCTCCCCAAAATTCACTGCCACAAATGGCCGAAATGGCCAGCCACCACATCCACTACACGGCCGTTTCCCCACCAAAAAACAACCCCCTTCCCCAAAATCGACCACCAAAATTGGCCATAAGTGGCCGAAATCGGTCGATGTTGGGGCTGAATGGTTGATTTCACCCTTTATCGGTCGATTTCGGCCATTAGTGGATAATTTTGTTGCCGGTTTGCCTCGTGTTTCGAATGTTAGGGTTAGGGGTTAGGATTTGGGGGATGTTTGCTGGTTGCGGGGTGATCGAAGAGGAAAGGGGAGGTGATTAGGGAAGCACCGGCACCGGCGCTCGGGGGAAAGGGGTTGGGCTGGTCGTGGTGGCAACGGCTATTGTTGGTGGAGTTACAGGGAAGGGGAAGCGAGGAGGTTGGTGGAGTGCATGAAGTGCGCAGGGGAGGGAAAGAGGGGAGGTGGGCAGGGATGCGGCGATACAGAGGTGGGGAGAGGGGAGATGGGCAGGAAGGCTATCGGTGTCTGGTTGGTTGCTGGTGGCCGTGGTGGCCTGGTGGAGAACCATAGAAGGCAGAGAGGGAAGGGGAGGAGAGAGAAGGTGTTTTTTTTTTTTTTATTTACTTTATTTCATTTTAATTTTATTTATTTTATTTTTATTTTTATTTTTAACTTTATTTTTTTTTTAAGCGAATCATACATTGACACGTGTCTAGCTGACCTGCTACATTAAATTAGATGACCAGTTGGATGCATTAGAAACTAATAGGGTATAAAGTTGGGAGTGATAGTGAATAAACGAAAGTTGAGATTAATATTGGCGTACGGAGCAAAGTTGGGATTAATAATCCGAGCTATTTTTCCTTTAGTATTTTTGGTTTCCAGTTTTCCTCGATAATAGTCTCTTTGATCACTTGATTTGAGCGCTAAGTACAAACAACAAAAAGATAAGGTGAAAGTGGATCAACTTGCCTTGTAACCCTCTTGTTGGATTAAAAGAAATAGTTAACCATTCTAAAGAACTCGCATGGAAGGTGAAGTTATTCATGATTACTTCATTCATATAGATAAGGATTTTTATTTCTACAAGCGTCTCTAAACTTCCACTTGAGGCGGTCATAAGCTTTCTCAAAATCGATTTTGATTAACATACTACGTATAATCTTTCCCAGTTTGTTTCCTCTTCACTGTGTGAGTCACCTCTTGCACAATAACAATGTTTTTATTTATTCCATCTACCTGACACCAACTTGTTTGTAAATTTGCAATGATTTTCGGTAAGAGAGGTTTAATGTGATTCATAATGGGCTTAGTAATAATCTTATACGGATCGGAGTACGTTACATTACAAAGGCCTATGGAGCGAAACTGTGATCGAGTGAAGCTCTAGATTGTTAGTTTTGGGAATTAAAACCAAAAAGGTTTCGTTCGTTGAGGTAGGCAGGCCCTTTCCTTCTAAACTGAAATAATTACCATGTATGGAATACACATTGGAAGCCACTATGGACAAGTTCTTTTGGTAGAACAATGCTTGAAATTCCTAAATCATGTTTAGGGCAAATCTTAGAGGGATAGTTTCTAGGAATTTGCTTAAGGTATTAGGGGTAATAACAATCAATCCCGATAACCAAAAACAATAACACAGTAAAGAAGAGAAAATTAACAAAGAAATGAGAGTAAAGAAGACCATACTTAGTAAGGATAGTCTCCGTCCTCGATCAAAATGAACACACTATATGGACAACCAAGCATATGTTGAACCGCTTCATAAACTAGATTATCGAAGAGAAAGCTATCATATTATTAATGATTATCGTCGTTTTGGTTTGTTCAATTCATATTTGTCATTGTTATCGACTTATCGCGAAGGGAATGAAGTAGCTGATAATTAGCTAATGTAGGTGTTGGCGTGTTGCCCAAACAGAAGGGTATGGTATTTCAATGTGTACCATCTGAAATTACTAGTCTTTTCCGAGATGATATCTTAGGAGTGGCTTTGCCATGCTTAGTTAATTAATTTACTTTGTTATTTTTTGTAAGTAATTTTTGTCAGATAATATAAACTCCTTGATTAGAGTGATTTCCATTGATCAATATTTATAGGGTTACAATGAGAAACCTAATCATATTAGGTAACTGTAAGATATGTACAGATATCAAAGATAATCTTATACAAAATATATCCTAAACCTAGGATGAGAATATTCTATGAATATTCTCTATCACACCCCCGCAGTCAGAGCGGGAGAAAATCGGATGCTCAGATTGGATCTGAATCACGCATCGAATGGTAAGGATAGTATAGTAACCCATGATCAAAAGAGAAAGTAGTAGAAATGTGCCGATGATGACGAGAGAAGCAATAGCCACGACCTACATAAAGTAGAGATAAGCATTGCTAAGTCGGAGGAGAAGGAGAAGAGTCGCACACAGACTTGGGCTAAGTTGCAGATCCAGAGAAGAAGAAGCTAAGGGATCAAACCATCATCGGGAAGAAGACACTACACTACTACGTGAAATCACAGTTGAAGAAAAATAAATTGCGCAAGAAAAGATTAAATCCCACCGCTTGAAATTAATCAATTCTCATAAGAGAAACCAGGTAGCAAGAAGTAATACTCCACAAAGATTCCAAGTGCTGCAACAATAAAAGGAGCTAACTTGATAGCAAAAGAGATGTGCAAAAGTTGACCTTATTGTGATATACCACCACCCAAACAAAATCTATGTGATTATGTGTTAAAAAAACCAATGAGGCAATGTAAGAATCATTGTTGGTTATGGGGAGGTGGAAATAGAGTGCGGCACATGGAATAGGTTGGCAGATGTGGTTACTGCCAGTAGTGGGAGGCGGTAGTGTATGCGATTGCCAACAATGATGGAGGAGGCTTTCGCGATTGCTACTGTTGGTGGGAGGCGCAAGATTACATAAAGATTCTAAAAAAAACTTTGAGAAAAGAAAAAAAAAATCTATATGTGTGTTTGCGGAAGCATAAAAAACTTTGTATATCCCGCCGGTGGATTTAATTTTCTAACCCACCGGCAGGGTGAGAATTTTTGTATATAATCCCAAGATCTAACCTAAGCTGTGATACCATGTCAGATAATATAAACTCCTTGATTAGAGTGATTTTCATTGATCAATATTTATAGGGTTACAATGAGAAACCCAATCATATTAGGTAACTATAAGATATGTACAGATATCAAAGATAATCTTATACAAAATATATCTTAAACCTAGGATGAGAATATTCTATGGATATTCTCTATCAATTTTCCCCCTCTTCTGCAAGGATTGAAATAAATAATAACAACAAAAAACTAAACATAGTTATACATACATTTATAATTTATTACAATATATACTTTCACAAATTTTTATATGCGGCACTGTGCGATAGGGATTACTTGAGCTTTTTTGGTCATGGGTTACTAGAGTTTTCCGGGGTTACTAGAGTTTTCCGGGGTTACTTGAGTTTCTCGGTCAGGATTACTCGAGTTTCCGGGATACAAGTTTCCGGTTAGGGGTTACTCGAGTTGCCGGGGTTACTCGAGCTTCTCGGTTAGGGGTTACTCGAATCATAATTTTTTGTATGCGGCTTGACCGAGAAACTCGAGTAACCCCTGAATGAGTAACCCTTAATCGAGTGAACCCCTCGAGTAACCCCTATCCGAACCCCTCAAGTAATCTCTGACCGAGTAATTAACTCAAGCAACCCCTGACTGAAAAACTCAAGTAACCCCTGACTGAAAAACTCAAGTAAAGATAACCCCTAACAAAAAAAAACTCGAGTAACCCTTGCCGCATGGTGTGGCCTGCTGCACTAAAAAGTTGCTGATGTACTTTTACTTTTCCCGTTCCAAAATACTTCGTATTATTCTATGATGACATGTAACTTAATTATCAGTGTAGTAGTCATTAACAAATGTGTATACAAAGTTACTCAAATTCAAGTTTAAATTAGTATTTGACAAACTAATAAAATAAAAAATCGTTGGATAGGATCACAAAATTACGTTATTCGAAGATATAATTACATCTACTACATTTACTTACTGTAACATTCATTAGTCGATTGGTTTTTTTTGTTTTTTATTTTTTTCCAATTACATCTTTGCCATTTTAAGTACTATACCGGGTTCAGTTTGAAATTTACCAGACATTAATTTGTTAACAAGTACTGTAACATTAACGAGTAAGATATTAAAACAAATATTTTGAAGCATATAAATATCCACAAGCCATTTATAAGAGTAAATTTACAAAAATGAGGGGCAAGTAAATAAATAAAAAAAATTTAGAGGTATAACTATCCTATACACCATTCAGAAGCATAATTGAACTTCATATTTCATTATATTTGTACTAATTAGTTTTTTGTACCTGCCTTTACACTCTCTTAGTATAATCAACTTATATTTTCAAGCTTTTTGGCTAAAGGCATACATTAAAATCTTAGGCCCGACAGTGATTTATGCAAGAGCTTTAGAATATAATATTCCAATGCAAACTCTAGAAAAAAATGCATAACTATCATTAGTCTTCATTCTTTAGGGTCAAATGTACTAGTATTTCAAAACCTTTGAACAGTTAGTGGTCATAAAAGTAATAACATCAATAGTCTTCATTTTAGACAGAAATTAATGTCTAGTAGTAAGAAAATAGAGCTAAGAAACCCAACAGAGTATGAAGTTATGTGCTAAGAACATTACACGGGCCAGAATAGCAGAACGTTACAAGTCCGCAACGAGCTAGCCAGCCAGATATTAAAATTTAAGCCAGCCACTGCACAATTTATGAATGAGAGAGGGAGGGGTAAGCGAGGGTAGGGGGTAGCATCAAAAACTGCAAAGAGAAAGATCGAGTTACGCAAGGCGTATTTACTGCAAGGTTCCTGCATTAAGTGCAAACGAGACCAAAAACACAAATATGCCACAGCTGCAAGCATTACAATGATGTATGTAGATGCGGAACTTATATTGACAGTGACCATTAGATAAGGCTGCAAATGATATGTACATCTCGAAGAAACATAGCTAATAAATTGGTGCAGGGTTGAGAAGCCCCACAACCAAAAACACAAACATCAGATAGCTTTTACAAAGCTCAGCATATGATCAACGAAGCCATTTGCTCCTGTGGTTTATCCTTTCCTTTAAATAATGGGTATTTCTATCAGAGTCGTAACATTTTCAGGATATACAAAGAAATTATGGTGGAAAAAGGAAAGAAAACACAGTATTTTTGTAACCAGGAGGAATGAGCACTGAGAAATTGCCCCAAAAAATGAAATAAGATTATGTTGACATGAATTGCCAACTTTCATCCTCCATTTTATTCTATTGTATAAAATAAGCACGGATCACCTCAATAACTGGTGCTTGGCACATTGGACACTTCCCATCACCTTGAACCAGCAGATCCGCACATTTAGTACAAGTGCACATGTGCCCACATCTGCACGATTAACGAAATCAAATATGAATAATGAATAAAGAGCAGATAATTCACTCAGATACGATAATGTTGATTTTCAGATGATTTATTTTACCTGTACAATAAAGAGTCAATGTTGGTGTTAGAACATATACAACAGACGCCTTTCCTCACACAATCCCATTTGAAACTATCTTTAGGCAGTACATTTTCGAGCAATTCTGTTCAAAGCAAGGGAAACACAAATGAGAACCCAATAATAAGAGTTTGCAAGAATATATCATAAACCAAATACTTATATGTAGTAGTAAATAAAGATATAAACTATTCTGCCAAATAACTTGCCAGATGGATTGGCTGATCGATTCAGAGCAGCAGAGACCTCCTGTCTCACAGAACGTTGCAGTTCAAGTTGCATATCCATGCAGGCCTCCAACATTCTTTGCATGTTATTCAATCTTTGCTGCAGTCTAGCCATGTCAATCCTCAAATCATTAATGATCTCCCACTCCTGTGCAGATGGGAAACTGGGATTATCAACCACAGATAATTGTAAAAGTCCAAAAGGCTATAATATAGAGACAAACATACATGCGTAAAGTCAAAAAGAGGCTACAGAACGAAGACAATTTAGCCAATAAACAACTATTAGTTCATAGAATCATCTTGCAGCTGAAAAGACGCATGTCAAGCATGCAAGAAACAAAAGCTTTGTGGGGGATGGGCCAAGGGGGGAACTTTAACAAAAATCAACAAGGAGACCGTTTCATATTTACTCAACAAGCTAGAACAGCTAGATAATCAATAAACTCATGTAATACAGAAATAGCGTACGGAAATGGCTACAAGTTTAAAACCAAAATGGCTATCATTGAGAAGGACCAGAAAACAGTATGAACACTTGCTACACATTATAAAACACAAATCGTGGTGCTCTCTATGAATGACCTCCAAAAAAAAAGGCAAATAATACCAAAGAGTTGTATAAATTAAAGCAATATTCAAACAATGCACAAGATAGATAGCAAATGCTAAACACCATATATGTAGTAAACACAACAGAACAGAACTCACAGTTCCAGGGTGCTGTTGTGATTCACGCCTTGACCAATTGCCATTGTGCCCCCAATTTGCCTGAGGGAGAGGTGGTGGTCTAGGAAGGACTCGTTGGGCTTCCTCAGCATGAATAGGTCCTGACTCCTCACTGTGGTCTGTGCTTAGGTGATCTTGATTCTGCATGGTGAAAGGTGGAGACATTTCATGTAGCTCCCAGTCATCAGGAGCGTTAGTTTGTCTTTCCACATAAGACTGTATCAACTGGTCTAGGCTCTCCCGGAAATCACTATGAAGAAGACTTGAAACTCTTCTTCTGCAATAAATAACACTTGCAATCATTACAGACGTACACAAAATAAGCAAACAACAGATTGACTGAACTACTGAAGTATAGTTTTTCTGTTTAAATTATTCTCCCTCCGTTTTAGAATTAGAAGAAGAAAACAAGAACAAATACCTATTCACAAGTTCTCTTAGCTCCATATGATGAACATTATCATCATCAGAGAAATAATATGTATCAAGTCTACCAGAAGTCACCCCAGAAGAAGGCATTCCAAGCCAATCTCTTGGAGTTTCCTGAGAGCCACTTTCATGCCAATAGTCTTCTTGCGCATCATTCTGCTCTCTAACTTCACTCTCTAAAGCACCATGAGAGCGCTCTGCACCATCTACAGGCCAATGTTGTCTGTCAATTTCACGTTGATCATCATCTCTCCATTGGTTTGATAATACACTGCCTTGCCATCTGCTTTCATCATACATTGTAACATGTTCTGGCCAGTCTTCCACCTGGATACTGGAATTTTGGCCATTTACCTCTTCAGATACATGGACTTCATCATCTAATTCACTAAGTAAGTTAATATCTTCTCTGTGAGTATTAAAGTGATGAGATATTTCATGGGCTTCTTCTACGCTTCCGCTTCTTGAAGGTTCTTGAGAATTCATCAGCAAGTAGCCCTCGTCTGAAGAACCTACAGCAAGCCCACTAGTAACTGTCTCTGATCTATTCTCCGCATCTGAGGCAAGCTCCAGCGTCATTTCAGCTTGAACTTCCAATTGTTGCAAATTAATGTGCCCACTGCCTTCTCTCGACTGATTTACATCAGCAGATGGACCAACACCAGCATTTCCTTCAACATCACTTTGTTCATAAGTCCCAGCAAGGATCTCATTTGCAGACTCATTTTGTTGAGCATCATCTAGGATCTCATTTGCAAACTCATTCTGTACTTGAGCACCATCAAGGACCTCAATCTGAGGATCATTTGGTACATGAGTACTGTCAATGCCCTCATTTGTGCTGTTAGCCTGAGTTTGATCATCTCTAAAACTATGAGGACTGTTTTCCAAAGAACTACCAGACAGGTCACTTGCTTGAACTTGAAAGCTGTCCAATCTGGATAGAAAACCTCCCCTGTATATTACATGAGATTAGGACAATAATACATAATATGATACAGAAAGATATTAGGAAATGGCTGCCTAATATCTAGGACAAAGCATAAAAAACAAAATAAAAATAAAAAAAGGTAAAAGTAACAGATCAATACACATCACATACAGATGTTTTACTGATATGTCCCCCAATTATAATTTACTCTGCACCCAATTATTCAATCAGCAGTTTTTCTCCACTTAAAAATAGTACACCAAAATTCAAACAATTGCAAACCACAGCCAGTGTTCATTTATCATGAGCTTTCACAAATACTTACACTTTGTTTGGATAGGAAGAAATGGAAGGAAAAGAAGAGAAGAGAAATGGAGGGGGACAAAATCTCTTGTTTGGGTAAAAGATTGGGGGAAGGAAGGGGAAGGAGAGGGAGGGATCTATTTTCCCTCTCTCTATAATAACCATAATCTCTCCAAATTGGAGAGATTTGGAGGGAAAATGGAGCTCACCTCCCCCTCCCTTTCTTTTCCCTTCCCTTCCTCCATTCTCCCTCCCCTTCTTTTCTTTCCTTCTTTTCTTTCCAAACAAACCGTTAAGGTCAAAAAAAGCATGAACCTAAAGCCCTAAACTAACCGAGCAAAACTCACAAGAATATATGATGAACTCAAATCTGTTTCCCACCAACCCGCTTTTTACCTTTATAATTACTCCTTGAATAAAAGTAATGCTGCAAAGTGACTTTGTTGTCTTAGGACTAAGACATCTAATCTTTGTTTAAAACAATCATCAAATGCACTAGTTTTGCATCAGCAATAACAAATCTGATGAATTTAATGAACTTAACACGAAATGTAACATACTGTGACTATGCATAGGATTTATACAATTGCTTCACCTTGGTCTAAACAATCTCTTCCTAGTACAGATACAAACACAAGATAATACAATGACGAATTTTAAAACCACCATTAGAGATTAAACAGAATTGTCAGTTATGCATAAGAAAAATGAAAACATACACATATGAACACTAGAAAATGCTAAGATAATTACAGAAACAGCATAAAGCATTCGAAGAAAACTTTCAGGTGCTATGATGAGTCACAAAATCACCGATATATACCACAAGTTCTCACAAACGCCAATTTTGCAAAAAGCATAAATGAATGAAAAACATACCTCAAACCTGACACAGTTTGCCGCTGCCTAAGTAACCCCAATTCACTTTCAGCAGTGGAACTGGGCCTCCTTGACTCAGCTGACCGCATATTCTGGAAACACCGAATCCTAAGTAAAGACTGCAAAAAGAATTTTTAAAAAAAAAAAGTATATATTAATTATCATAAAAAAAAATAAAAAATAAAAAAAAAAAAAAAAAAAAAAAACCTTATTCCTTGTTCTCTCAATTCCTGTGAAAGATTATCTGAATTGTTGTACAATAAATATAGCAGAACTTATTGACCTAAGAAACATATACTTATATTATAGAAATGAATGGAATGATCAGGAATTGGAATTGGGATAAAGTTCATCTTCTATGAAGTTTGTAATGAGAAAGCATTGTTGCAATAACAGAAAAATAAGCAGATGACTTAGACAAATAACTTGGTAGCCATACTGACATTTGAAATGTGTTTGTAGGTGCAGGGGAGAGGAGTCGTGGAGGTGAAAAAAAAGCTCAATTTTTATAGAGATATATAATGCAAATCTTACCTGAATGCGGTTGCGGTGAGCAAATCGGCTAACAGGACAAGTCACCTCCAAGCCCTGGAGCTCTTGTCGTCTTTCCTGTTCCTTCTTGGCCAATAAATCAAGCAGAGCCTGCCTGCCACATAATCTACGAATTGGCCTCCGAATATTTTCAACTTGACCTTCATTATGATCTACAACTTGACCATCTCGGACTTGTTCAATCTGAGAACCAGCTTCAGAAACTTGGTCTTCTCTCGGTTGACTGGTCATCTGAATCCATTCCCTCACAACTCGAACCCTTTCACGCTCACCCTCACCAAGCCATTGCGACCTTGATCCTCGGTTCCTGTGGGGAACATTGGGTGCCTGGGCGGCTCCACCATTATTCTTCCACTCCTGAAAAATTCTTCTAACCCGTGCCCTTTCAACAAGGCCAAAATCTTGAGATTGCTCCGATGTCATACTCTGACGATCATCCTGCTCATTTAAAGGTCCTGTGAGGCTCTCAGAGTTGATCACAGACCCATTTTCACTCTCACTCGAATCCTCCAAACCACCCCTACCTTCCCCTTCTTGACAATTAGACAAGGCATCATTTCTCTCTTGTTGCAACCTTGCCCTTCCTCTTTCACGGACACGATTCACCACGCATTCATCTTCTAATTCCAGCCACATCTGCCGGATTGAGGATGCTCGGGTGCCTATACTCCCTTGAATTCCAACTCGTCCTGATGATGATGATTGAGACTCCCTTAGAATTGAAGACTCAATCACAGGAACATTGTGCAAACCCGCTATCGCCATTTCTAAATTAAACTATCAACTCTACAAACCCCCAAAAATTTTAGGCCTCAATTCAACAATAATTAACCATTTCAACTTCCTCTCTAATTTATCAAACAACCCTCTAAATGATATGATACCACGAACAGCGCACGCATTCAATAAAAACCTTAGCCACGCTTTCGTTTTCGAATTTCGAAATGATCAGATCATTGGATCTGCAGAAAAAATTACACACCCTTAATTCCAATAGTCAACATAACCAAAATAAATTTGACCAAATTTAGAATTAGAATATTCACAAATTAAATAACTTATACTTGTACATAAATTCTATACAAATTCATAATTTCACAGATATTGCAATGAATTGACAATATTTCCCCCAAAACAATTAATCAAGAATTCCAAATTTATTTACAAAACTCCTCTCAACAACCCCATTTCCAAGCAAAAATTAACAACAATAACGAAAAAAACCCAGAAATTAAAATTCAGATTATTGGCATTAAAAACACCAAAAACCCAAATTAAACAAAATGAAGAGAAATTAGAATATAAGCAAACTTCATAATAAATATAGACATATCATAAGAATTGAATTAGAATTAAAATAATGAAAAGGGAAATGTTGGTGAAAACGATAGGATAGATCGTGAATGCACAACAAGAACTGGTAAAATTAAAAAATAAAATTAAATAATAAAATAAAAAAAATTAACCATGGAAGAGTCGTGTTCGTTGACACTTCGAAGCAAAGAGAAAAACATGTAAAATTGAGGAGAGAGAAAGTAACGTTGGAAATGTACCTGTGAAGAAGAAGAAAGCTTGAATTTGAATTGAATCCGAAAAAGTGAGAAAATGAGAGAGAGAAAAGGGGGAAAATTAAAATTGAAAAACCCTAATTTATATTCTAATTAAGCTGTCGAGAAAGTAACATAAAAAATACAGACAAAGGAGAGAGAAAGAAAGAGTCTTTTAGTAAGAGAAGGTGAGGAGGAGGACAGAGATGGAGATGCGTTGATGGAGGGATTTATTTATTATGGTTTCCATTTTTATGACAAAATAAATTTAGAAAAAAAAAATTGATTTTAATTTTTCAATTTGGGGAAAATTTGGGGATTTGATTTTTTGTTATTGAGTTTTTGATGAATGGAATGGATTATGGAATGACTAAAATTTGGAGTTTTTAAGGCGGATTGGAGTACGCCGGTTATATTTATATAAACTATTGAGTCAAAATTATGTCATGTAATTTATATTAATGACTGTCAAGTCATATTATTTATGTATTGATTGTAGAGTCATCATTATCTCGTGTGAACACAAATATTAGTTTTTGACGATTTTATCTGTGATTTTTATTTGCTCCTTAATTGATTGAATTTCATTTGGGCTATATTTAGAAATTTTCTTACCCTAGCATAGCTCTCTACCTAGGTGATTTTGACTATTAATAGTACATGCAATGTTTAAAAAATTGGCGTTTTTCTAATTATTCTTTTTTTTTTTGCTTTGTTATAATTTATTCAAAGTGTTATTCCAGATGATCTCTTACTTCTGACTAGAAAAATCAATGTTCTATTGAATTTGTATCATACCATTTATAGTAACTCATCCACCCACACTTAACTACATTCAACCATTAAAGGATGGGAAATATTTTTGCTTGTGCTTCAAATAATCCACTCCTAAAAATGCGAATTAAAAGATATGGGACAATCTTCTCAAATTTACCTAAAAAGGATAAATTGGATTGATTTTTTTCCAATAAGTAAATACACTCATTATCCAAATTTTTCATTCTAATATTAGCAAAGAAAGACACGTCGGTCATTACAAAGGGAGTAAAATTAACGATTTTTTAGGGGATAATCATATCCTTGAGAAGAAAAGACGCGTGTGCTAAAAATAGAGGTTTTAGTTAATTCCGTTTTATTTGCCTTAAATAACTCATTTTTAGGTTAATCATTTAAATCTTGAGTACAACGGTAAGTGAAAGTCTACTATAAAGGTATGAAAGCTTCTATTTGACGACGTCGTTGCATGTTCTTATAATACTTGGATTAGATTGTAAAGTATCATTATAGCGTAGTGATGGTAGTGGTAGGTGTTAGGTGAAAGTTATATGGATCATCTTTTTCTTTTATTTTATGAAATAAGAACTTTTAAGCTACAAAATCATGAAATTTTGTAGAATTAGGATTAAGGTAAGTTTAATCTTTAATTACTTTAATGAAAGATTTGAGTAGCTAATCCTCAAAGTAATCATAATCATCTAATAATGATAATTTAAATAATTATATAAAGCAAATTGATAGAAAATTTGATAAATAAGTGCATTGAGATTATGGGTTTAGGTATAGATAATTAGATATAGTCAATATAGAGTAATACTCATATTATAATATTATAACCACCAAGTTTTTGGGTTCGGATTATGCCCCGGATTATTGTAGTATGAATATATGATCAAATCAAGATAATTGTTTTGAAATTAAACTTCGATTAAATGAGGAGAACGTCACAAGACATTGAACAACTAACATGTTTGAGAACTCTTTTTAAAGTATATTATAATATTATATAGTATATATTATGGTTATTGCAAAGTTTTACAAAGGATTTACGCAACTTATTTATTAGATTAATGCATATATCCTAATATATGACACTATATTATGAGACAAAGAAATAATAGGGACTAGGACCTCTTCCAATCAAAGACAGATTTTGGCTTATTAAAATACTACGCATATATATTGTCTTGAAAAAATAGTAATAGTTTGTAAGATAATTAAAGCTTCTTACTTGTAATATTTATAACTACTAATCTATTTATAATCTTGAATATCTCCTAATTAATACACTTGATCTCAAGGCCAAGTTGTTAGAATTGGTATACACGACTTTGGATGGAGGGTAGGATTGAATTAGTAATTTAATCAAATTGTGGGATTGTAATATCCTTAAAATTTTAAAAAGGAGTAATAAAAACCATATTGACAAGCACTCATATATTATTTTGACAACTAGCATTTACTCACTACTAATTATCAAGTACATGTCCGTTCAAAAAAAAAAAAAAAAAAAAAAAAATTAATTATCAAGTACATGCTATTTAACTGCTAAAAGCTACCTGTTACCAATTATTTTGCTGAATAGGGCCTACATGCATCTTGAATGCACATCTTTACATGCAATAAGATGCCACATAGTTTTTCTCACATAAGATTGATGTTACAAAGTCAAGATAACTTCATTCACAACAAGATTAATAGAGTATAAAAACATATTCCTAGGCCTCAATCATCAGCTTAACCTTTTGGTTGAGTTGGTCCTCCAACATGGTATCGGGGTCAGCGTGACTCAAAGGTCGTTCGAATCTCATCTCGATTTGCCCCTCTTTCAAAGTGGAATTAATTCGCACTAGGTATGGGTGGGTCTATGTTGCATCCACATTTCAAGCCCAAAGGTTCTTTCAGTGAGGGGGAGTGATAGAATATAAAAACATATTCTCGGGCCTCAATCATCAGATTAAACTTTTGGTTGAGTTGGTCCTCCAACAAAGAGTAATAAGACATAATTAAATATATTGAAAGAAACTATTGCGTTTATGGAGTTGGGCTTTTGATCTTAAGGAAGGAGTTAGCAGCCTTTAAGATCATTTTGATAAGGTTAAAAGTAGGATCATCTCAATCCTAAACGTACTATGTAGTATGATCCTAATTGATCATGTACTGATCCTTATTAGAGTCGGTTTGGTTTAATTATGTTAATATTATATTTATGTTAAGTTTATCTTATTAGGAGTTTTAGGCTTATTAGGGTTTCCTAATGTATTGTGTGTGTGTGCATATATATATATATATATATATATATATATATATATATATATATATATATATATATATATATATATATATATATATATATATATGTTTATGATCAATACAAAGCTTAAGCCGTTTTCTCCAAATATTTCTTGAGTTTAACATGGTATTAGAGCTATCTATTTTCTAGAAATTTTTCAATTGATCTTGGTTAGTTTTTTTAATTTTTCATAATTCTTGTTTGTTTGAGAAATTAAGGCTTCGATTTTATTTATTTTCCAGTTTTTTTTTTTCTGTGGTGTCTACTTTGTTGATGAGTGACCCCTTGCCTTCTATGAATGCTGCTTATGCTAAAGTTGTTGCTGATGAGCATAAGAAATATGTGTCCGAGGCACATGAAACCTCTTCTTCTTCTACGACTGTTGATTTTAATGCAACAGGTACGGCTTCCGGTCGAACTTCCGAACGGATTGAGTGTACTTATTGTAAACGATCTGGTCATGATAAGGACCACTGTTATTAGCTTCATGGCTTCCCGGGTGGGGGGCGTGGAGGACGTGGGAGGTAGTGGTGGTCGGTCGTCTGGTAAGGGCAAGGGTGAGTTTGCTAGTGCTGCTGGGAATTCTCGTGGTAACAATGAGCCGATTTCTGATTCTTATCGTGGGAGTGTTCCAACGATTTCTGATGCTCACTGGAAGGAACTCATGTATGTAGTAAAGGGTGCCAAGTCTGGTTCTTCGCAGATGGCAACAAACTTGGTACGTATAATTCCATTGATTGGCTCATTGACACTGGAGCTTCAAATCATATGTCTGGTAATATTGATCTTTTCACTGATTTACATGATATCTCTTCGCCTGTTGGTTTACCCAATGGGAAGAGCACGACGGTAATAAAGGAAGGAAGAGTTATTTTGTTTGTTAATTTAACTCTTAATAATGTTTTATATGTTCCTGCTCTTAAATGCAACTTGTTATCTGTGCCTCAATTATTAGAAAAACAATGCTATTTTATTATGTTCACTGACAAGCTATGCATTATTCAGGACCGCAGTTTGAGGAACCTGATTGGAGTGGGGTCCAATGTGATGGGGTCTATATTTTTCGGCCGACCCGTGCTCGGAATCTGCAGGCGAATAAAGTAGTTATTTCATATGCAAGTTTGTTATGGCATAGGCGTCTCGGGCATCCGTCAATGCAAGTTATGAGCTCTCTTCCGGGAGTTCTAGTAGTCGTAGTACTCATAGTAGTGACAATGTTTGTTCTTTTGATTGTTTTATTTATTTTATGGGGAAGCAACCCCGAAACTCTTTTTCGATAAGTATGAATAAAGCATCTGGAATTTTTTTATTTAATTCATTGTGATATTTGGGGTCCGAATAAGATTGTTTCAAGTTGTGATGCTCGTTATTTCCTAACCATTGTTGATGATTTTACTCGTGCAACTTGGGTGTTTTTGATGGTTGGTAAATATCAGGCTTCTCAGTTAGTTCGTGAATTCTGTGCTATGGCTAAGACACGGTTTGGTCGGAAGGTAAAGGTCGTTCGTAGTGATAATGGCCAAGATTTTCTTAGTTTAGGGTCTTATATTTCTCATAAGGGTATTCTGCATCAAACATCGTGTGTTGACACGGCTTAACAGAACAGTCGAGTTGAGCGTAAACACCGTCACATTTTAAATGTGGCCTGTGCTCTTCAGTTTCAGGCAAAGTTGCCCAAGTACTTTTGGGGTGAGTGTGTTATGACTGCGGTGCATCTCATTAATCGCACTCCTACTCCAGTTTCGAAAGGTAAAACCCCTCATGAGCTTTTATTTGGTCAATCTCCTTCTTATGATAGTCTGCGTGTTTTTGGTTGCCTTGCTTAAGCTGCGAATCATCCTTGAATTAAGGACAAGTTTGATTCTCGGAGTCAAAAGTGTATTTTCGTTGGTTATCCTCACGGAAAAAAGGGTTGGCGTCTTTTTGATCTAGATACGAATGAATTTTTTGTAAGTCGGGTTGTGCAATTTTTTGAAGATAAGTTCCCGTACCTTGAATCTCTTCCAGATGACAGACGATTACTATGGGAAAAATATTTTTCACAACCCCCGGCATGGGAGGATGACGACGTGGCTGATTTTTTGCCATATGATGGTGTTTTAGGGGGAGCATCGACCGAGGCAGCAAGCTCCGCAACCAGGCCGCGGGAGCAGGGGCCCAGCCGCAACAAGGTCGCGGACCTCACTGCCCCATGCAGTTCGCAGCCCCCCCTTTAAGTACTGCCACAACCAGGCCGCGGGGAACTGCCCCAAGTCGCAGCCTGGCCGCGGACTGGTCTGCCCAGCAGGCCACAACCCCTGCCAGCATACCAGCAAGGCAGCCAGAGGCTACTGTTTTGCTGCGGCAA